ATTATTCCTGCACTCTTTGACGCAGTAGGGTCCTGAAAATCTGTTTTGTAAAGGTGAACCTGGGATAGGGAAATAAGCAAGGACGAAGTCTCCCGGCTTGAATTTTCTTACTTTGCTGGTCTGGTCGTAATGAGTCTTCATTCTCACCTGGGCTTTCAATAGATTATCATGGGCAAAGCGGTGGACTCTCTCTAGAATGTGCTGAAGGTTTTGAAGAAACTGGGGCACATTCTGATGCTCACTGAAGGTGGCATCTCTGAGAGAGTCTTTGAAAGCCTTAAGGGGAGTACGGCACTTACGGCCGTAGAGCATCTCATAAGGAGATACTCCTAGGGACTCATTGGGGAGACTTCTGAAAATACACATTATTAGGTCAATCTGCTTATCCCAATCCTTTGAGGTTTCACTACAAAACTTTTTCAAGAGTGCTTTGATGGTCTGATGACTACGTTCAAGAGAACCCTGTGAAGCAGGATGATAGGGGCTGGACAATACCTGTTTGATGTTGAACTCCTCCAGTGTCCTTTTGAAGAGATCACTGGTGAAGTTGGTGCCACAGTCACTTTGAATCTCCCTGGGAAATCCGTATTGAGTGAAGATCTTCAGTAGATGTTTGATAACCGTAGCAGCCGTGATGTTCTTCACTGGAACTGCTATGGGAAATCTGGTGGTAGGACACAGGATGGTTAGGATGTAGGCGTTACCTGAACTGGTCCGAGGTAAAGGACCAACACAGTCTATTATGAGTCTGTGGAAAGGTTCCGCAGGCACCTGTATGGGAATCAGTGGTGCTCTGGGAATGGAGACGTTCGGTTTGCCTGCCATCTGACATGTATGACACTGTTTTACGTACTGTTTGACGTTGTTTACCATACCTGGCCAGTAGTAGTCTTGACGAATCCCATGGTACGTCTTGTTGAAGCCGTAGTGGGAGAATGCTCCATGGGCCAGGTGTAGAATAGTGGGCCGCAGGCTGGTGGGAATCACAAGTTGTTCGGTGTTGGCCCAATCGTCCTCCTCCTTCAGTTTACTGGGTCTATATCTGCGGTAGAGCAAGTCGTTCTCTAGGAAGAACCCAGGAATACTGTCGGGTTGAGTCTCAGCCTGGAAAAACAATGGTGTTAAAGTAAGATCTTCCCTCTGCAACTTACGGAACTCCAACTTGGTCAGATGCGGGGGTAGTTTCTGAGGGTCTTGAGGGACAGCGGTAGCAGTAGAGTCAGCTGGCTGTGGACGTGCGGCTTGTGCACGGGTGGTCACGAGAACCGGAGGAGAAACTTCACTCTCTTGAACCTCTGCTGGAACATACTCAAGAATAGGGTTACTTGGCACAGAGTTACACACCTGGGGTTTGTCCATGACGATCAGGTTGGTTGGTTGCAGGTCTTCTGCCAAGTCGTTGCCTAGGAGAAGTTGCACTCCAGGCATGGGAAAAGGCTTTTCCCTGACGGCGACTTGGACTTCCCCGTTCACGTAGGGACAATCCAGGTGGACTCTGGCGAGAGGGTATGGAGTAGTAGCAGTGAGGTCAGTGATGAAGACCGTTTCCCCGGTGTAGACTATGTTGGGCACAGCCGACTTCAAGATGATCGATTGTAGAGCCGCTGTGTCCCTCAAGATCTTCAATTTGAAACGTCCCTCCGGATTTGAACCGTTGGCAGAGACAGTTCTAGTATACAGGTGGTTACTGAAAAGAGAAAGATCATTAACATCAACACCAACATTCATCACAGGCTTACCGGACTTAGGAGGAGTTGGTTTGGGTCGTTGTTGGTCAGTGGTTCCCTTGTATTGAGACTTACCACACTTGTCTATGGTATGTCCATAGAGTCTACAATATTTGCAGTACAGTTGTGAACCAGCTTGATCGGGGCTCACCTTCTCGTAACTGTACCACGACTTCTTACTGGAGGATGGTTCAGGTGTCAGCCGGTGGATGAGGCTGTAAGTGTCAGCCGACTTAGCACACTTCAGGTAGTCGGTTTCTTCTTTATCTGCTAAGTAGAGGCGGACAGGAGGCGGCACACGTCTCAAGAATTCTTCAACAAGCATCAGGTTCACGAGTTCTGTAAAAGTAGAGACATGTGCTGCTTCCAGCCATTTCATGAAATACCTCCGTTTCGTGTTAGCAAACTCGAGGAAGGTAGTGGTACTTGCCTTCAGGTGGTCACGGAATTTCCTTCTATAACTTTCTGTGGAAAGTAGGTAGGCGTCCAACACTGCTTGTTTCAGAGTGTAGTAGTCATTCTCAGACGCCAAAGTACTGAGTGTGACTGCAGCTCTACCTGTAAGATGGACTCTGAGAAGTGTTGCCCATTGGTCGACAGGCCAACTGAGTTGATTAGCAAGGGTTTCAAAGGTGGTAAAGAACACATCAACTTCTGCTTCTACAAAGGATGGCATTAACTTACTTGCATGTGATATATTAAAACTGACGGGAAGATTGGCAGTAGCTTGCTGGCGTTGAGCGAGGTGTGAAGTTTCCAACGTGTATTCCCGTTGACGACACTCAAGAGCCAGAGTCGCTTGTTGCTTGTCATGTTCACGTTGCATTTCCAACTCGCGTTGTTTGGTTTCAAGCCGTATGCGTTCCCGCTCCTGGAGTAAGGCAATCTCACGTTCTTGTTCTTCCCTTCGTATGGCAGCTGCTCGTTCTTGTTGTTCGAGGGCTTCCCTTTGCTGTTCACGTTCAATCTTAGCCAGCTCTAGTTTAAGTTTCATCGTTGCCAAGTCAGTTTTATCTGCAATATAGTAAGTTTCATGAGTTTCAGAGTCTATCTTACCTTGCTCTAAATAGTAATCCAGCAACAGGTTGTGTAGGTCATTTTTGTTGGCTTGATAGGGAACTTCTAGTTGATACTCATGTGCAAGAGTTTGTAGTTCAGTCCTCTTGGCACGACTCAAAGTCCCTATTTCACCTGCTGGATTTGCACGGAAAGTTTGGAGACGAAACATGGTGAAATTAGCAAATAAAGGTACACGAATGTTCAATAATGAAATGTCAGAAACAGGACAACGTGGCAACTGGTACCTATCCTGTGTGATCTTTAACAATTAACGTTAAGTGAAAGATATTAAATTAAATCAAGGGCGCAGGAAATCTTGTACCCGGTACTCATGTAAGAGAATAAGGGCAAGAAAATCCTACTAACAAATGAAACAAAGTTTCGAAAACAAATGAAACAGTTAAATGCTTCAAAAGTAAAATTGGTAGTCCAAGGATGTAGGCATACCTTGCCAAGTCTCTATAGGACATAAAGCAAGTTTTTCCCACTGAATTTAATATGATACTTACAGAATTAGCGAACTTTTGTGCTCTGAAAAAATAAGCTAATTCCCTACCGTTGTATGTATCATCATCTCTGACTGACGTGTAGGGGTGCGAGGTGTCAACTGGTGACGAGAACTGCTGCTGAGGTCCCAATTCAGCAACTAAAGTTCGAGCTAGAGGAACTATGGCCCTCTTTGTCCTCCTACAGTCAGATTGCAGAAGATTGGGTACTCTTGACCCGGGGCAGACCACAGTACCAGGGTACCAATATGATGATCTGTCAGAATGAGAAATATTCAAGGGACATAGATGGTAAATACGAGTAATAACATGGAGGGAGAGATGACCAATTAAGAGTATGACTGAGGCCTACAGTCACCACGTAATCCAAAGTTGTCTCACCTTCACTATATGTTACTCTCGTAATGCACAATACACCGCACCTTATAAAAAATGAAATTGAATGAAAAATAGTAAAGCTACGTTAACAAAGTTAAATACGCTTACCATAAATTACCACTTGGCACCAGTACCTGAGTGAAGCTCCTAGGACAGGCCCCCATATAACTTGTGACGGTAACGCGTTGGTGTTCGGCTGTTTAAGGCTATAATTACCTAAGTGTAGTTACAGGATGAGAGCTATGCTCGTGGTGTCCCGTCTCCCCATGGTTGTTCACTTCATGTGTTCATGTCATGTTTTGGTGTTTGAGTTGACAAGAGTGTGCATAAAGTGTTTCAGGTTAGTTAACATTTGTTGTTGACCTGTCCAGTGGATCGAGGCCTTGTCTCTATACACCTGTCAGGTGGTGGGTCAGGAGACCTTCTGCAAAAGGGGTGTTTGGCAGATTTGAAGTGACACTCTTGGTTTAATGTAAAGTGTTGGGCTGTGGATTAGACAATAAGTTTGTTGAATAAATTGTTATTTTGTTTACACAGGCCATTGTCATTCCTCATTCTGCAGTACTGTCCCATTCATTACCTTACTTAACAATTGTCCTTAAGAGGCACTTAAAGCTGGTTCAGGTTCCAGCCCCTAACCCCAATCACTGAATATTAAATTCGGTGTGAGAACCCGTCCACTACCTGCTATATTAGCTGCAAGCGAGTTGCAGAGAGAACGATCCAGTGAGAGAAGGTGTTGTAGTGCATTGTGGAGGGGAAGACCACCTTGGTCTTCATCCTTCTTCTGTACTACTGGATCTTTGGTGGTTCCTCAAGCCTCTCACCTTTTGGATTGGCAATATCGCATCAGGCTTCTCCTCATGGGGCCTGTGTGTGGTCAACCTGGAAGTAGAATCTCGCATCTGGCTTACCAACGTGGGGCTAGGGCACTTAACAGTAAATTCGCCATAGCCAGGTGGAGTAAAGTATAATCTCACGGTTTTGGTTTACGATTTTTTGGTGTACCCTCCGTCTCTTGGAACGGCTTAAAATCATAAACGAAGGTAACACTGTATTGCCTTCTGGAGCTACCAGCTGTGAACAGCCTTTGTACATCTTGATCATGTCCATAAGTATCTAGTGTTATTCCCCAAAATGTTCTTTGTATTAGTGGCTTTATTTAATATGCATACTCTATTCCTAATAATTAACTATTGTATCATGTTCTTAATTTTATTTAGAAAATACATATATTTATTTAGACACTCATAAATGCACATATACTATTAAGTATTTATTAGTGAAGAATAAATTACTTCTTTAATTTGACTTGAGGAATGCATTTCAGGCTCTGCTGCGACCTGCAGTACCGAGAACATTTTTGGACAAACCAGTTACATGACGTGTCCACAGTTAACAGATGCACAAGATAAAGTGTACTGCTGTGGAACCAAGAGAAGTCGCTACTGTTGTGACACCCCATATGGAGTTGATGATGAAGTTCTCAAGCAATTTGCTGACAAGTAAGCCTTATTTTGGATATTTTTTTCTGGGAGGAGCCCCTTGGTGGCTGCCTGAAGCTATCTTGCCGAGAATGCTTCCCACAACTGAAACACAGCAATCGCAGGAGTCTTTCCGTGGGGAGCCCCTACGGCTCCTTGGAGCTTATCGGGCTTATGTATGTTATATTAGACTGGGACATTAGCTAAGGAGTTCAGACCTACCAGGGACCAGTGTCAGAACCTGGCCCCTTCAGAGAGGTTTCAGGAAGCAATGGCCCTGGAAAACCCCCTTGTGGTTGGGGTTTTCCTTATCTGCCTGAACCCGGAATGTGTCTTCTGGGTTCCAACCCATCTTGTGTGGGTTCGTTGGTTGCTGTGCCCTTGTCTCTGGGTGACAGTCGCCACTTTTACCTCCGTCATGCTGCCTGTTCGGTCACTTGACACCTTGACCCGGAGTCTTGCGAGTTGTTCTGTTTGTTCTCCCGTACTCTCCTGATGTTATTACTGTTCTGAGTACAGGCGGCATCCTCGTTGCAAGCTTGGTTTAGTTTGCTGCAACGCGCTAGGTTGGTTTCCCACCCGGATGCCCCGGGGCCGCCCCATTTTGGTTAGGTGCTGTTCGCCCCTTTTCCCTCCCTGTTCCCGGCTCCTGACCGTCTGCGGGTTTCGGGGTCGGGGTGGGGTTTAGTTGAGGCCAAGACTCGGGCAGTTTCAGGGACTGCCCTGTTCGGGTTGGGGACGGAGGTTTTCGAGCCTGTTCCTCCTGCCTTGGCTTCTGGGTCTTAACAGCGGCCCTTTCTTGCTCCCTTTCCCCAGGACTTTTCCTTTTCTTTAAGGGCAGAGGGCATGGAGGACAGCTCTGCCTCAGGGGCCTCTGTTGCGGGTTCCTGGGGCTGTGGGGGATGCCTGCTAGCAGTTCTGGGGCTGTTTGCCCCTGCCTGGTTTTTCTGCTTCTGGGCGGAGTTTTTAGTCCATTTAGTCTTCTTTCTTCCCTCATTTGCTGGCGTGTTTTCATATTTATTGCGTCGATCACGGCCCCCCCTGTTTCTGGTGGCCATTTTCTTCCGCCGGTTTCCCGGCGTGGCCACCAGGGCGGTGTTGCGGTTTGTTTACATGCGCTTGGGTGTGCGAGCTAGCGTCTTGGGTAAGTTTTTCACCTTTGTTCCTCTGGGAACGCTTGGGTGTTGGTTTTTACAACAGTTTTTCCATTTTCTGTCTGTTTTGGGTCTGGACCATAGGGTTTGGGCTTGGTGTCAGTCTGTTTCTGCTTGCTCCCGCACCTTGTCCCTCGGCTTTCGGTCTGCTTTGGCCGTTTCCCTGGGGGGTTCTGTCTGGGGGCTGTGCTTTGCCTTTCTGTGGTGTATTTCTGCCAGCAAATGTGGTAGTTTGGGTTTGATTGCAGATTCCCCAGGTACGATCCCGGGTTCCTATGGGTTCTTTGATTTCGTTCCGGAGGTTTCTACCTCTTGGGCCCCCTTTGTGGGTTCTGGGGGCTTTGTTTCCTCGTGTGTGACCCGGTTCTGCCTTCTGCGGTTCCAGGGTCTTCCTGGCTTGCAGGCTGATTTTTTTGGGTCTTGGCACGTGTTGTGGTCGTGCCGGGGCCCTTGGGTTTTGTTGTCGAGATGGGCCTTTTGATGCAGTTTTGTGCTTTCTTGGTGCCTTCTTCACCTGGCCAGCATGATCTCTGCCCATTGGTCGGCGGCTTCTATTTTTCTTTTCTTTATTTAATTTTTTTGTGTGTGTGTGTGTACACTTGTATACGTGTACATGTGTACACTTGTATACGTGTACATGTGTACACTTGTATACGTGTACATGTGTACACTTGTATACGTGTACATGTGTACACTTGTATACGTGTACATGTGTACACTTGTATACGTGTACATGTGTACACTTGTATACGTGTACATGTGTACACTTATATTACATTAGAAAGAACTTTTTCAGCATCTGAGTAGTTAGTAAATGGAATGCACTTGGAAGTGATGTGGTGGAGGCTGACTTCATACACAGTTTCAAATGTAGATATGACAGAGCCCAGTAGGCTCAGGAATCTGTACATCAGTTGATTGACGGTTGAGAGGCGGGACCAAAGGGTCAGAGCTCATCCCCACAAGCACAATTAGGTGAGTATGTGTGTAATTACCTAAGTGTAGTTACAGGATGAGAGCTACGCTCGTGGTGTCCCGTCTTCCCAACACTCTTTGTCATATAACGCTTTGAAACTACTGATGGTCTTGGCCTCCACCACCTTCTCACCTAACTTGTTCCAACCGTCTACCACTCTGTTTGCAAAAGTGAATGTTCTTATATTTCTTCGGCATCTGTGTTTAGCTAGTTTATATCTATGACCTCTTGTTCTTGAAGTTCCAGGTCTCGGGAAATCTTCCCTATGGATTTTATCAATTCCTGTTACTATTTTGTATATAGTGATCATATCACCTCTTTTTTCTTCTGTCTTCTAGTTTTGGCATACTTAATGCCTCTAACCTCTCCTCGTAGCTCTTGCCCTTCAGTTCTGGGAACCACTTAGTAGCAAGTCTTTGCACCTTTTCCAGTTTGTTGATGTGCTTCTTAAGATATGGGCACCACACAACCGCTGCATATTCTAGCTTTGGCCTAACAAAAGTCGTGAACAATTTCTTTAGTATATTGCCATCCATGTATTTAAAAGCAATTCTGAAGTTAGAAAGCATGGCATAGGTGGAGCTTCATACCCAAAGAGAAGGAAAAGAAAGGGCTGACCCAGGAGATGGCAGAGACAAACTCCGCAACGCAAGGATAGACCGCAGGCTGGTGGATTTAAAGACTCTGTGGATGACCTGGAAGACCCGAGCCCGGAAAAAGGGAACGAGGAGAACCGGATCAACCCAAAGCGCATCCCAAGGACCCCTCCGGAAAGCAGCCATCTCGACCATCGCCAGGACGGAGAAAGGCTGCGAACGTACAAACCTACCACCAATACCAAAAGGGCAGAAACCCCTGCACCGGAAGAGAGCCGGAAGCTCCCCGACTCGACCCGCAGAGGCCCATGCCAACAAAATATGGCCTATGAAAAACAATCTTGAACCGAAGGGGCAACCACAAACTGAGAAGAAAGATAAGAGGGTACCCTGATCAAGGACCAGGATGACTCGGGCGACGCATGAGCAGGCCGGAGGTGAAACAAAACACGAGAAAGCGGACGGAACAGGGCGGATGTAATGTCCACCCCCGAACGCAACGGTGAGCCGTGCGTTCGGGGTGGACGTTTCGTGCGGTGCTGGCTCTGCCAGCACCGCACGAAACGAGGCGACAGTAAGAAGCATCAAATATCAGTCCTGAAAACCCAAGAAAGGACAAGACAACCCGATACGAAACAGAAGACAACCTACGAAGAGCAAGAAAATGGCGAATAAAAACACCAGGAAAGTCATACTGTCACAGAGACGAAGCTCGCAGGTGGGACACCATCAATGAAGCCACCTAATCACCATAGAAATGGTGATACACCCGTGTCGAAATAACAGATGCGAAGAGCCGAGAAGGCCGAACCAGTCACGTACAGGACCGGTCTGACCTGCCGAAAGAGGCGGAGCCGCGGGTCGGACAACTATCAAACAGCGTCTGAAAATAAAGCTGGGCCAGCCACCAAGGGACCACGAGGTAGTAGCAATCCCGGTTGCAATTCTTTTTACCATGTCGTAGTTGATTAAGGCACATGCATCTTGGATCATCCTAGACGTAAGTTCGAACTCTCATCACGGCCCTTGTGGATTTATTAATTTGATATCGAGCTATTGTTATTTGTGTGTGTGTTCGGGTAGCTTGTCTGGCGAGTTCTTGGGGTATGCACAAACGGCATCACAGTACCGTTCATAGCCAGAGTGTGTCCAACGTCCTGGCAAACAGTTTGTCCCGGTTCCTTCCTCTTTCCACAGAATGGACCATTGATGCCGATTCCTTCCTCTTTCCACAGAATGGACCATTGATGCCGATTCCTTCCTCTTTCCACAGAATGGACCATTGATGCCGATTCCTTTCCCTGGCTTTGCTGGATGTTCAGGCGCCCACATGATCTCTTCTTGTTGGCATGGTCTCTGTCTGCCCCTTTGTGGTGCTGTTCCCCCAACTGTGTTTGGCTGGGCTTGTCGAGATTGGGGTTTCTTTACCTCTTTTCCCCGGTCCAGCTGTTGCTCAGAGTGTCTGGGGTCTTATAGGGGAAGAGTGATTCTGCCGACCAGCCCAACCTTGATGTCCGAACCTGGGCGTTTTTCTGCAGCTCTGCCTCTTCAAGAGGATTTGGAAAGTGACTTGCCTTGCTAGTTCGGCCTTCTCTTCTGCTCTCTGCATCTGGAGTTTTTGTCGCATATGTTTGTGATCAGGTGGCTGGGTTGGTGTCCCACCTGCGGTCATCTCGGCAACAGTATAAAGTCTCTTGGCAGTCTTTTTAGCATTTTCTATCCTTTCACCATTGTCCTTCGGGTTCTGAACAGGTTGTTTCTTGATCGGCGTCTTATGCCAAATACTGTTGCCTCTTATTGTGCGGTGTTGGAGGAGCTGCTCCAGCTTATGATCGGGGTTGATACGTCTTTAGTCCGTCTCGCAACCTTTCTCGCGCTTGCCACCTGACCCTGCCTGGTCTCTGGACCAAGTTCTTTCTTTTCACTCTTCTGCTTGCTTTACTGTGTAGTGGCCCCTTCGGTTCGTGATCGTTCCTTAAAGGCTGTGTTTTTGCTTTATTTGGCCTCAAGTGGTTGGGTGGGCAAGTTTCATACTCTTCTCCTGTGCAAAGGGTTTTGTTCTTTTGGCCCTATTTGGCGCTTTGTTCCATTGCAGCCGGCTCTTTTCCTGGCGAAGAATGACTCTGCAGGCTTCCAGAGGGGTCCTTTGGTTGTGGATGCTTGGTTGATTTGGTAAAGGGTGAATCAAGCACTTTGTCTAGTGGCAGCTTTTCGCCGTTACCTTCGTGCCACCGGTTCTGTTTCAGTTGACTCTTGTTGGTTGATCCAGTTTCCCTGATTCCCTGTTCCAGGGCT